AGTCGAGAGATCATTCTGTACTGGGTATTCTGTAATGGGTAGAAATAAATTGAAGGATCAACATGGGTCATTATCGAATTTGTTGTATACTTCAACTAGGGCCACAAAATAAACTTTAACGACATTAATTTGGATGCAATCAGACTAGTAAATTGTTAAGAGTGAACTCAGTGAAGAGTTAAAGGGTCATCTTTCCAGAAACTATTTTGAATTAAAGTGTAAAGTGAACAGTTTGTCTGCCTCTGTTTATTTGGGTTGATGGTAATCATAGTTCTTCTTTGCACAGAAATAATTTGAGGGATCAACTTTTAACGACTTCCGAGGCGTCTGGCTTACCTACAACTATCTTGCTTCAGACAGTTCTATTGTTGATAGATCCTGAACGTCCAGGGACTTCTAAAGTGATTGATTATCTTATTCAGAGAAATCTACTGACTGTACTTAGAGAAATTATTCTTGCAGTTAAGGTACCCTTCTTATGGTTTTCTGTTCTCTGACAGCCATGCTTTTCCACATAAACTCCTTTGAACTAGTAAAATTGAATGATATTTGCTTTTGTTGAATTGGTTGGTTCAGATTACAATCTTGGGAGCCAACAGCTTTTCTGTAACTACTTCTTCATTTTTTTTTTTTAAGAAACCACCTTTATATTATGTGGTGCAGGCAAGTAGGAAGGGTCATAGTTCACATGGGAAGAAATCTTTAGTGGAGGATGTGCTTTCCCGCATAGCATTCCGCATTCCCCAAAAGCTAGTTACTCCTGGGGATATTGGTACAAAATGGAGTCGTTGTTTCTCATCACAGATTCTTACAGTGCCTTTCTTATGGCAGCTTTTCCCATACTTGAAAGAGGTAGGTTTCTTCCACACTTCCACACTTTACTCAAATGATCCTTCATTACGTGTTCTCTTTAGGTTAATTTTCAGGCTATATCATGGCATGATGAGGTGCTTGAAAACTCACAAGCTTTTCTTTTGCATTATTCTGTATATCCAACTAATTTCCTTACAAAATCGGCTGGTTTTACTGATTTCTTTTTTTATGCTTCAAAATATCTTCATTTTGTTAAGCGTTTACAGTGTTTTTTTGTTTTGGGGGGCTAATTATAATATTTCTTATCTTTTCGCTAGGATTTTGCGTCTCCTAGACTGAGTCAGCATTACATTGATCAGATGGCAAGTGATGTGGGGACTGAGTTTCCTGGTTCTGTCTATCTTCTTGGTAATATTTTAGAGATAGCAGCTCTTGCTTTAGCACATCGTGATTGCTCGGTTGAAATGGTAAGAAGCTGAGTCATATAATAAGAAGACTGTATGTTCTTAATTCTGTTTCAAACGTCAGCAATGGTATGGGGTCATTCAATTCAATATGCTTTGCTTACTTGCAAAATTTTCCTTTGAAGTAATTGATGGGGATTGGGGAATATGCATATTTAAAAACATGTATTTGAGATTTTGAATCTGAAAAGTTACCCTGACCTGAGGAATTATTTTGACCAGGTTGTACAACTTGCAGCTACTGCTGCAACGGTGTTGGAGGCTCTTCCTCCTATAGAATCCTGGAGTAAAGAAAAAGGAGAAAGCAGAGAAAGTATGCCCAGTTTTATGATATGCAATCTTTTCTCTTCCTTCTTTCAACGTGCCAATGGAGTTTATTTTCTTCTTGTCAAAATATCTTAATCATAGTATGGCATTTCCTTTTAAGACTTCTATAAGTTATTATTATTATTTATTTATAATATATCTTCTATAGTTTCTTTGAATGCTTAATTGAGAAGGCATTCAACTGTTATTTTCAGGATCCACATTGGATGAGGATGAAATGAATCATTATGATGAAGTAACAGTAGGAGTTCTGGGTAGCAATTTGAAAAAGCAGATAGACAATGCCATAGACTCCTGTTTTCTTCAGCAGTTGGTATACGATCTTGATCGATTGTCAATTTCTAGAAGATGCATCCAACCTATTAAAATCATTCTTTTTCCTTTTTAACATCAAAGCAACAATTCAAAGTTTTGCTCTTTTGGCACAGAATAAGGTGTTATCTAAAGGGCCTTCCGTCATCCATGCTTCAGAAGATGAAGGACCAAATAATATAAACTTGCCAGTTGTTGCTGCTGCTTGTGCTTTTCTTCATGCCACTTTCAACACTTTACCCTCTGAGCAAATTGTGAACAAACTAGCCTCTAGAACTGACCTTGTTCCAAAGCTTTGGAATTTTGTGAAGTGGTGTTATCAGGATCCAAACTGGTTGACGTTCTTGCCAGCGCAATTTTCAGATTTGTTGCTAGTTGCACCTCTGTGGCTATTCCCTCTGGCTGTTTTCTGCACTTTCTACAAGTAAGGGTATTTGTTTGCTTTGTGATTGTTTTATTATTGTGGTTCATTTTACAATTCTTTTCTTTATCACTTACTTTGTAAGGTTTGAGGTTGATGTAAGGGCACAATTTTTTTGAATATCAGGTACAAGCTTATGATGGTTGATCATAAAGAGTTCTATGAACAGGGGAAGCCGCTATCATTGGACAATGTCAAATATCTAATTAAGATTCTGAAAAAGGTAAGTTGTTTTTGCTGAGCTCTACTTCAGCATGCCAAAAATGAAGGTTGTGGCTTGCGAAGCTGCTGCTAGTTTTTGTTCCTAGATTGATTATGTTTCTGTATT